TTGTCATCGAGTTGTGCATACCTTATAGCGACTCTACGAACAAAAGACCTAAGGCCTTTCTATAACTGTTGTTTCTCCAAGTTCATAGAGTTTCCAGAGGCGTGTGGTGTAAGAAGGGGATGACACTCCTGCTTCCCAACCTGTCTTAAAACTGGGAGCTCCACCAAACACTGCCCACCCTGAGCAGCCATTATGGCATTTTAGACCCCAATGGTAAAAGGTTCAGCATCACAGCAAATCCAGATTACCTTAGCACAGCAAATGGACAGAGAAGTGCTGTACGATTTAGAAGACTGTTTATCCAAAATATGGTAGAAAAGGATTAAAAGATAATCTCTCAGACATGACTTATTAAAAATAAGGGCCCTTCAGAAGGTTTTGTTGACTCTACACAAGAGACTTTAATAATCGTAATAATAATAATCACACTAACCATAATAATAACGAAAAACATTCTACAATGACCCTCAATCAAAACAAGACAGCCCATCTTACAGAGTCTAGTCACTTCACCCAGCTCCAAAATGGAGACAAGGGCTTGGCCTTAAATGCAAGTGTCCTCCTGGAGGTCTGTGGGCTCTAAACAAGAATTACACAATGTAAACAAGCTTATACAATGTAACAATCTATACACATCCTCAACCAAAACAAGAGTGTCATCATACAGAGTTGAGCCAGTGGGAGTCGGAAATGGGAGACAAGGTTTTGGCAATATATATTGTTAAGTGTCATCTAGTATTGACCCCATAAACAAAAGACTTTAATACTCTTCTATAACTATTATCCTTTCTCTAAGGTCATAGAGTTTCCCACAGGCATGTTTAGGAAGTGGATGTCACTCCTGCTTCTAAGCCTGTCTTAATATGTTAGCTAACCACATATTGTCAGCAATGTTTAAGTATTATGGCACTTGAAAGACCATTGGTACAACATTCAATATCACAGCAATCCAAAGTTACCTCAATACAGAGACATGACAGAAAAGTGCTGTAGGTCTTTACATACGTTGATATAAAACTTTGTCTTCTCAAACAGAACTTTGAAATCTTCTGTTCAGTTCTCTTATTTTATCATTTACACCTCGCTTTTGCTTCTCTATGTTCAAGACAAGTTTTCAGGTTTCTTCTGATGTCAGTTCTGGTCTCTCCTTTCCTGTGTTGTTAATGACCTCTTTTTTTCTTCATGTATGATGTCCTTGATGCCATGACACAACTCATCTGGTCATTGGTCATAAGCACTCAATGCATCTAATCTATTCTTTTTAAAAAAAAATTATTATTTTTGTGTGAGTGTACCATCAAATCAGATCTGACTGGTACAGGAGGAGATTGTCCCTCCTTCCCCGGCA